ACCACTGTGCATGTGCGAGAATCCGTATGTGCTACTATGACGGTTCTGACGTTATGGGGGTGATTTTGGGATGTTGGAAAAATATTTTCAAGGTACTGGGTGTGCTGCAGAGTCACACAAACACCCGTTGTCACCCCGGAAACGATACAGAACGAAATAAGCACATCTGACATAATTTTCGAAAATAGATGTTTTCAAAGCCGAATGTTTCTTTAGAAAACCCTAAAAAACTATCCGAAATAGTGCTCTCTACGCTAACGCGAAATAACTTATAACCTACCATATCAATCGTCAATTAAATTTGCCAAGTTCAATTGTTAATTGAAGAGTTTGTCGGTTCTCTTCAATCATATTGATCTCTTACGATGAGAGAGAGAGAGAGAAAGAGAGAGAGAGAGAGAGAGAGAGAGAGAGAGGAGGGAAAAGGGAGAGATGGTGACGGACAAAAAAGAAAATCGTAAAAAAAAGAAAGAAGAAAATGAAAGGGAAAAGACATTGCGTGAACGACGAAGACGCACTCGACAACGGTGCGTAGACTTTCGACTCTTGGCATCGAATCAGGTATTCCATCTACCTCCGTCATGCATCTCGCCTTCGGCTACCGTTTCGATCAGTGGTTCCCAGATTTTTCCACCAAACCGACAAGACGGTGACGAGGGAAGAATGTAAAGAGAAAAAAACGCGTAACCTTTCCAAGGATACTTGAATTACACGCGCTTGACAGGTTGGAGACAGAAGAAAGAGTCTCGAGTATGTAATATTTTTACAATTCGTTTTTACACTCGAGTTTCTCGGACGCGACGGTAACGGTGACACGTGCGGTTATTGTTTGTGTTTCGGGCAGTCGTTCAAAGGTGGTCTGGTGTTTTACACAATAGTCCATCAGAGCCGCTATCATTCATTCGGGCGTGACACAAACGTATCACTTGTTCCAATTCCGCGCATTCAACATCGCGTGCGCGATATAAATCGCTCTCTATGTCTCCGTAAATAAGCGGTATCACCGCGCTTTCATATAAACTAATCCAAACGCGAGCGTTTGACTCGTCATCTCAACTGAATCCGCGCAATGAAACCGTCTCCTCTCGGTATCTCTCACGTTCTTTGTTTCTTCCTCTTCGCGCACGACGCAAAGTGAATTGAATTTCTCTTATTCAGAGTGCGAAATCAGTACTCACCTTGCCCGTGGAGCGCACGACCTCCTTGGTTACTTCCCGTTGAATCCCAGTCCCGCTGGTGATAGTGGTGCGACTTAGCTCCAACGAAAATTCTGCAAGAACGAATCACAGAAACGTTTGAAAGCCTCGACGCTACCATTCTCTCACTCGATTTATTTACACTGAGAGAAAAAAATATCGAAGAAAGCAAATGTTTATTCAATGAATACTAATAACATATTCACTCATACTAATATGAAACATTTTTCAGACGAGAAAATATACATTTTCTCAAAACCTTAAAAGAATCTTAGCTCTTTATGAATTGTTTATTCTATTTGAACTAAAAAAACTGAAATTTAAATAAATTTTTTTAGATATTTTTCTCTTAGTGTAACTACGATATAGATTTACAAGTGTCGAATTCTGATCTTACTACTTTTATTCTCAATTCCGACACAATACTGAATTTAAGATACAAATCAATGTTAGATACTTAAGCGGAAATATTTAAATAAAGAAAAGAGAAAATTTATAGTTTATCGTATGTAGTAGAAGTACAAAAGATTCGATACCTTTTTTTCTTTTGGATGTTGTGCTCATTCGCGAACTGAATGCCATGTCGTCGTGTTCAATGTTACATTATTATTCTGAAACAGAAGTAAACAAAGAGTGATATGAACTGATTGTTATAACTGTATTATTGCTGTATCGTTAACATTGCGATAGACATAACGTAACAAGGGTATATTATGGTTTCACTGTTGAAAACGCAGACACTCTCGACTTGTAAATTTGAAAAAATGTATTATATCAGTGCGGTACCGCCATCTCAAAGGCACAATCGTAATACTGACGAGTTCCTAAGGTAAACTCGAGGACCGATGGAACTGGTTCTCGATGTTCTCTCTTTCGGACGGTAGGTAAGTTATCTACACCAAGAAGAGGCGGGAAAAACTTTTGGCGAGATTTTTCGCGGGATTTCTTCAAAATTATCGTCAATCGTGCGCTGCCAAGTGTCCGTTTGAATCTACATCCGAGGTGTTTAGCGAAACCTCGCGACAACAGGCGAGGCGCCTGTCAAGCTGCGTTTTACGAATGAAAGTGAGAACCCTAATAAATTATCTCGACTCATCTCACAACCAGAAGTTCCAAAGTGACATGATAAAGTGTGGTAAAGCATAAAACAATTGTGATCCTTAAAACGAGTAATACGACAAGTTGCTTTCATCTACAGCCACTTGTAATTCCAAAATCAATAGTCTCGACGTTCCCATTAAAACACGGCTCACTTGAATTCGATCGAAGGACTCGGCTCGTTAAGATTCTCTGTCAAGCGAAATTCGCTGAAAGAGTTACAAATAAGAGAGGGGGGAGGAGAGAGAGAGAACAAACATTGAAACAGAGCGACGCGTTGAAGTTTCGGCGCGGTTACGACAGTCCTTGATTCTGTCGTCGGGTGCCGTAATTCATTACCTAACAGCCAACCAGCCGTGATAAGTCGTGCGTAATGCACGCATGAATAAAGTAGCGTCAGTGGATCAACCTTTAGTTTGAGCGAGATCTATTTCCGACACGCGACACTCGCAGTTGCCCGTCGCGATTGGCTGGCTTCGCCGGCCCACCGCGGTGTTGGCCGCATTTTCTTCTGTTTCGCCGCTAATCGGGTCACTTCCGCTATTCGATTTCGATCCGTCGACATCCCGCTGGGCTCGCGGGAACGCTCGAACGAACGCACGATTGATGCGCGGGTCGATTCGCCGAGCGAAGACGCGCGTCAGCAGATTGCAGTTTCCGCACCGGCCCAATAAGGGAAACTCGATGCATTAACAGGACGAATAATTATTATCACGTCAATTATCAACGTGCCAATTATCAATACACTTTGCATTGACAACATCTTGCGCAAACACTGCAATTCTTCTCGCGTGTGTACGATTAAAGATAAATTAATATATACAGAAAAATATTCTACTGCTAAAAGAAAAATAGTCACTGAGCTTGCTTTCCTGCTTTTGAGATAATGGTTATCTTCTACGAAGAATATTTTCCTTAATAATAATTTTGAAATCTATTGATTACAAATGTCAGAAGAGCTCACAAAGTTAATTGTATTAATATGAAATTCGGTTGCGATAAACAAATCAATGTATTTTGGCCGAAGCATATGGAATTTCTTAGCACCAGAAATTCTGTTTCCTTTAAACAGATCGTGTTGGTTAATTTGTTAAAATCAAATTTAACAGTTAATATAAATTTTTGTTCTCCACACCCATTATCATATACTAAAAAGAAGAATTTATTCTGCTTAAAAAGCTGGTTTGATTAAGTAGTAAACAAACTGAATTTTTCTTTTAATTAAATATTAATTGAAATGTTAAATTTTCTAGGACTTAGGATTTTGAATAAATTTGATACTCATGACGAAGTGAATCTCCTCTACGCGAGTTACAAATATAAAAAAAATTAAAATAGAGAAATATAAAAAAATAAAGATTTTTAAAAAATTGAAAAATAGAAAAAGAAATTATAAAAAAAAGAAATAAGAATAAAAATATAAATGTATGTATATAAAGCAGAAGAGAGAGAGAGAGAGAGAGAGAGAGAGAAAAAAAATTACTAATGGATGAGTGGTTGCAACACTTTTGACACAAGCTTCTCGAGTTTTGTAATGCGTCTCGTATCCAGAAGAATGCACCTTCTGAGAATCACTAAAGAAGCAAATTCTCCTGCTGAATACGCGATGTGTTGCGAAACTCATCGAGGTAAAATTGTCGCAACCTTTCATCCATTGACTGTACCGCACGACTGCACACGGTCGCGATTTTCCCGCGCTCGTCATCGTGATCTCGACCGATGACGCAACGAAGAAGATCGCGCGTCGTGAAACTTGCGGTTCGAAATTCTCCGGGGTGTTTTCGCGGCGAAGATACACACGCGCGCGCGCTCACACCGACGCGTCACGTATTCCGTCACTTCACGTGGCCGAAACACATGGCCCCACGGCAGCGTAATCGCAGGAAGAGAAGATTTCCTCCGCAAATGCAGGTCGCGATCAAAGATTAGCGGTTTACGCGGTTGCTCCTGGCAGAGTGCTTCGATTAAAGATGAGAGATAAACAGATCACCTTCGGATTAAAGTTAATAGCTCTCCATCGTCCAACGATCTTCGTCGAAATAACCGAGAAAACACGCTCGCAACGCGCAATTGAGGCCAACTATAGGGGAGACCGGTGTTAGTTGGCTACCGGGCTAAGTTGGCAAAATTGATTATTTCTACTGCTCTTTAACAGACTTCAAGATCAAACAAGCAGGGACTTCAAAATCATCTTTGATATGTTTAAAAATCTTGCTTACTTAATTCTGTAATTTGAAAATATTAGAAATAACCGATTTTGACAATTTATCCCGGTAGGTAAATAACCTCAGTCTCCTCTAAACTTCCCCATATTTTATTTATGTGATCAGCGTATTTTACTAATCAGTCACCGTATTTCATTCATTAGTCATTTAAACTGCCGCCTTCGCGACGTGTCGAAAGAGTTAAGGTCTTCGAGACCGTCGACGATCTTCAATCGTCCTCCCCGAGGTAGATCGAGCTTGTCCGAGCGAGATCTCCGAGCAAATTCCTCGAGCGCGACGTGACGTACGCACGCGGGGCTCTGTTTACACTAAAAACCAAAAACTTGGCCTTCCTACGGTTTGATTCACCGGACGCTTGACTCTGGGAAACCGTGCCAGGAAAATAGTACGGCTATTTTATGAGACACCTTGAGGAGGCACGGCGGGAATTATGAGAGATTTCATTTGGCCAGAAATTTCATGCCGCACACACGATCGCGCTTGGCCACCTCATTGTTTTTCTCTCGTGAGAAAAGTCCGTGCTCTTGATTTTTCGACGCTCCTGAGTGACATCAGAGTGAAACAACGCCGCGGGTATTTCGCAACGTAGTGCTCCGTATTGCGACTATTTATCACGCGAATGTGCTTTCTATTAAATTTCTTGGTGACATTTGTGTAACTCGAGAAGCGCTCTTAAAGTGAATCAGTAGAGATGTTTCTGGTTGAATTAATAAGAAGATTGTTTCACCGATAATCAGCGAGTATTCGCAAATTTTCAGTGAAAATATTCTTGATATCTCGCTGATTTTTCGCCAATGAAAATGGGTTTTCTCTGTAAAATCTGTAATACTCCAATTCGTTATGCGCTGTGTCAAATCTAATTTTCTGCATATTTGGCGATGGCATTAACGGTTTCTATGAGCCTTGCGTATGATGACACTGTTTGTGCATTAATAATGAGAACAGTCGTTATTGTTAACTGATAATTTCAGCGAGATTGCAGTGCTATACTTATAACTGAACCATAGTTACAAGTATAGCATTTCAGTGAAGAATACACTGATTGTACTTTGGAGAGCAGAGTGACAGCCAAGTCACTTGTACTCAAGTATAGTTTCTGTGGACGCCGTTAAATTTACACAGAGAGAATTTTAGAGTGAAAATTGCAACATAGTATTTCGTGACTGAGAAACAGATCGATATTCTGCAGTAATTCATTGTCCTTTCATTTCATACGTGCTACTTATATTTTAGGAACTGAAATATGCCATTAAAACACCTGCTATGTTTTTATACTTAAAATTTACTGTGTTCCTTAGCAAAGTAGACTTTATTATCTACTAAGAACCTTTCTGAACTATTAAGGACATAGTAAAAATGAAAGGAACTTATATGAAAAAAAACATAATATTTTATATCTCCATATATAAGATAATACCAAAAGATCGATGGTGAGTACAGTGTATTTTATTATCTCTATAAATATATAGAGATCTGCGCGTTGCATGTATGTTCGTTACTGTTTGGGACCAGTCGAAAAACACGCTGTGGAACACGAGTCGGCTCGTTGAGACAAGTTATTCAAGTTACTTAACGCGAAACTCAGAAAACACGAGCTGACACAAACAGGCGTTTAGTCCGCGTCGACATCGAATTCCAGACTTCGCTAATTAATGACATTATTAATCGGCGTCTGTCGCACTTAAGCGTAATACTTGCTAGCACGTCCCGACTACCAGACGGCTCGGCCAAGAGGACTATCATTGCGAAAATTCGCTACGAACCAGTACGGGCCGCGTCGCGTACGCTTCCGCATGGCAAGATGTCAGCCTTATATCTGTCATCTAGAACAGAGCGGACAGTCCGACGAATATGCCGAGCAACGTAGAATTACCCGACACCGACATGTCCGGCCATCGCGTCGTATATCGCAATTTCGATAACTGTGTGCGAACGATATTACTCTTTTTCGAAAACATCGCGACATCACCTTTCACGACGCATCCTTTCTTTCTCTCCCTCTTTCTTTCTAGTTTCTCCAGCTGAACGACGCTTCCACTTCGACCCTCTCCATAGCGATTCAGTGATTAAAACTATCGCAATTCCGACGCGACCGACTTTCAGTGTTTACACGTTGACTGCCACGATAACATTAGAGAACTGTATTCCTGATGTCATTCAAAAATCATCGTATTATCTGGTAATTACATAAAATAAAAACGGTTACACTTCTCGAATTTTTTTGAGTTTAAGATATCAAAAGTGGAATTCTGAGTTATCTGTATTTTAACCCTCTGAGTGGCAATTAGAGTCACTTATGGTCATCTGGATCATTCTAACACTAATCCTCATCAAATGATACATATTAATTTTGTTTATCTTTTGTGGCTTGATACAGCATCCCATGATCATCTATGCAAAAAAAATTATCTCAAAATTAATTTCAGCTTTTACATACGAGATGTCTCGTTTTAATAACATTATATTTTTTTCACAAACAATATGTTTTAAGAAAAAATGTTTCTTGATTTCGATGGGTAAATACGATGTGTGGTGATTTCTGTTGAATCATCAGATTTCCTATCAGCCTTGGAAAAATCTCAATGGGGCGTCTCATGTCAAATAAAAGTCACCATCTTATTTGCCGAAATCGAGGAACTTTATTTAAAATATTTTTTTCTTAAAATACGTTGTTTATGAAATATTTTATAACGTTATTAAAATGAGATACCACGTAGAAGCGTTAAAATTTATTTTGATTTGTAATATTTAATTTGTTTGTATGAATAATCATCTTTTGGGATATTTTGTATCAAACCACAAAAGATAAATAAAATTAGACTTGTGTGAACTTGGCACACCATATTTAAAAATGTGACATTTTTTTTAGAGTTCTGATACTCTCTTGAAAAGTTCTAGAGCTCTATGCAACAATTTTAAATAGTTCCGGTCATTAAATACAAAAAAATAGACTTTTAAAAAAAGGTGCGCTAAGTTC